ACCCCTCACACGTTATCTACCACCCCCACTCACCGCTACACACCCCTCACACGTCATCTACCACCCCCACCCACTGCTACACACCTTCACACGTCATCTACCACCCCCACCCACCGCTACACACCCTAACACGTCATCTACCCCCCCCACCCACCGCTACACACCCTCACACGTCATCTACCACCCCCACCCACCGCTACACACCCTCACACGTCATGTACCCCCCCCACCGCTACACACCATCACACGTCATCTACCACCCCTCACCCACTGCTACACACCCCCTTACACGTTATCTTCCACCCCCACCCACTGCTACACACCCTCACACGTCATCTACCCCCCCCCACCCACTGCTACACACCCTCACACGTTATCTACCACCCCCACCCACTGCTACACACCCTCACACGTCATCTACCACCCCTACCCACCGCTACACACCCTCACACGTCATCTACCACCCCCACCCACCGCTACACGCTCCTCACACGTCATCTACCACCCCCACCCACCCTCACACGTCATCTACCACCCCCACCCACAGCTACACGCTCCTCACACGTCATCTACCACCCTTACCCACCGCTACACACCATCACTCGTCATCTACCACCCCCACTCACCGCTACACGCCTCTCACACTTCATCTACCACCCTCACACGTCATCTACCACCCTCTACCCACCCTCACACGTCATCTACCACCCCCACCCACCACTGCACACCGTCAAACGTCATCTACCATCCCCACCCACCGCTGCACACCGTCACACGTCATCTACCACTACACACCCTTACACGTCATCTACCACCTTCACACGTCATCTACCACCCCCACTCACCGCTGCACACTTTCACACGTCATCTACCACCCCCACTCACCGCTGCACACTTTCACACGTCATCTACCACCCCACTCACCGCTGCACACCCCTCACACGTCATCTACCACCCCCACCCACCCCTCTCATGTCATCTACCCCCCCACCCACCGCTACACACCCCTCACACGTCATCTACCACCCCCACCCACCACTACACACCCTCACACGTTATCTACCACCCCCACCCACCGCTACACACCCTCACACGTCATCTACCACCCCCACCCACCGCTACACACCCTCACACGTCATCTACCACCCCCACCCACCGCTACACACCCTCACACGTCATCTACCACCCCCACCCACCGCTACACACCCCTCACACGTCATCTACCACCCCCACCCACCGCTACACACCCTCACACGTTATCTACCACCCCCACCCACCGCTACACACCCTCACACGTCATCTACCACCCCCACCCACCGCTACACACCCCTCACACGTCATCTACCACCCCCACCCACCGCTACACACTCCTCACACGTCATCTACCACACCCCACCCACCGCTACACACTCCTCACACGTCATCTACCACCCCCCACCCACCGCTACACACCCTCACACGTTATCTACCACCCCCACCCACCGCTACACACCCCTCACATCCTACACCAATCCTGGAGTATGCAGCTCCAGCCTGGAGTCCATACCGAGTTAAACACAAGACAAAGTTAGAGAAGATTCAGCGGTATGCCACCAGGCTCTTCCCGGAACTGAGAGGAATGAGCTACGAGGAAAAGCTAAAGGAGCCGAACCTCAAGTCCCTGGAAAACAGAAGAGTAAGGGGAGACATGATAACCACCTACAAAATTCTCATGAGAATTGACAGAGTGGTCAAAGACAACCTCTTCAGCACGGGAGGGACACGAACAAGGGGACACAGGTGGAAACTTAGTACCCAGATGAGCCACAGAGACGTTAGAAAGATTTTTTTCAGTGTCAGAGTAGTTAATAAATGGAATGCATTAGGCAGTGATGTGGTGGATGCTGACTCCATACACAGTTTCAAGTGTAGATATGATAGAGCCCAGTAGGCTCAGGAACCTGTACACCTGTTGATTGACAGTTGAGAGGCGGGACTAAAGAGCCAGAGCTCAACCCCCGCAAGCACAATTAGGTGAGTACACGTCATATACCACCCCCACCCACGGAAACACACCCTCACATCATCTACCACCCTCCCACCACTACACACCCCTCACACGTCACCTACCACCCCCACCCACCGATACACACCCTCACACGTCACCTTCCACCCCCACCCTCACTACACACGTGTATGAGTGTGTGTGATTGTAACTGGCTGAGCTAAATGAATTTTATGGTTCAGTCCATGAGCCCATTATGGGCCTCTGTAACCCTCTCCACTACCTCCTGCAGGATCGGTATGGGGTGCATAATAAATGAACTAAACTTAAATACTGTGGCTTGAATAATTGAGCAAAGGTCAGAATTGAAGCCTCATTTTAAGAAAACGAGAGATAGCTACAGATGTTACACAGGTGAATGTTACTTTAAACCTTATTGTCTGCTATTATATCACTTCTCTCCAGGTGTTATACCAATTTGGTTTAAATTATTTTTATTATATTTTGCTTACCTTAATTGAAAGTGGCATTATGAGGCAGAATAGTGAGGGTTCCTCACCCGGACTCTGGGCTATCACCTGGTGGCAGCCAGGCATGATGGAACAATTATTTTTTAATTGCCACTATTATTTGCCTGGTTCTGTTAATTTAATTCTCTTGGGTCAGTGGTTTTTGTGCTGCCGTAACTTTTAGGTGGTTCTCCTTGGTTATAGGTTGCTCTGTTTGCCCCATGCCTCCCTCGCCTCTTTATTTAACAAAACGAGATTCTGGTCTTGATTTCTGTTTGGCTACAAAGTGGAGCTAAAATGTTATGGTACTGGTCTCCATAAGTTCCAGGGAGCTACTGGGGGAACCAGCACAGAACATTAGTAATTTGTGGAAAAAATACTCTTATTTTTTTTAACTTTATTTTGTAACATTTTGTTATAAAAATACATAATTTGTTAAAAGTTACACAAACCACCTCACAAAAAATATTGCTTACATCATATGTGGTGATTGAGGGAAACCGAAGGGCCTAGTCTGTTGTATCAACATGCTCAATTTTATTAGTGTTAAAATATTTGCAAGTTTACATGGCTACCCTACCTTGCAATGATTTCAGGCTCAACGTTCTTGTGGCCTGGTCCTTGACCAGGCCACCTGGTTGCTGGATTGGTCAACCAGGCTGTTGGACGTAGCCGCTCTCGGCCTGATGTATGAATCACAGCCTGGTTGATCAGGTATCCTTTGGAGGTGTTTATCCAGATCTCTCTTGAACACTGAGGAATCGGCCAGTTATGCCCCTTATGTGTAGTGGAACCGTGTTGAACAGTCTCGGGTCTCTGATGTTGATAAAGCACTCTGAGTACCTGTTGCACCTCTGCTTTTCAATGGGGGCATTCTGCACATTCTGCCATCCCTCCTGGTTTCATGCAATGTTATTTCTGTGTGCAGGTTTGGGACCAGCCTCTCTAATATTTTTCCATGTGTAAATTATTGTGTGTATCTCCAGCCTGCCCTCAAGAAAATACAGATTTAGGCATTTTAGTCCCAATAGTTTACTGCTAGAATCCACTCAGTGAAGAATTAAAGGATCTCTGCATGCTAATCAGGTCAGCAATTTCTCCAGCTTTGAAAGGGATGCCATCATTGTGCAACAGTACATATTCCATCCGCTCTAAGAGAGCACTAGTGTCTTGCTATACCAATGATGATACTTTTCATTTCTAGTTTGATAGTTCTTGTTATCCAACTTGTCATTTTTCTTGCAGATTTGATGGCTACTTTGTGTTCTTTAAAGGCAAGATCTTCTGACATAAGTACACCCAATGCCATTACATTGTTTTTCATTCTATGTTATGATTTGACTGTTTTGTACGCGATTTCCATTTTTATATTTTCATTTTCTCTGTAGCGCAGGAGCTGGAACTTATCTTCATTAAATACCACATTATTTTCTGTAGCCCATTGAAAGACCTGATTTACATCTGACAATTATAATTATAAACTATTTACCATGTGACTGGTAAACTAATAATTTTTAATTGGACATCAAAAGGTAATAATATACAGTACTGTACCAACATGCAACTGTTAAATATCTTATATTTCAATTGGCAAACTCTGAAATGAAGTTTAGTGCAATAAACCATAAGACTTGATTAATAAAAGGTTATCTAACAGGGTTGTTGAGTTATGCAACAACATAATACAATATTATTGTACTGACACAATAGATGTGAGATTGCTAGATTGTTTGAAGCGTAAATTAGCCATATATATAAATAGGGTTAGGTGGACATAAATAGAGCTGCCTCATATGGGCCAAGATGCCTTCTGCACTCGTATTCTTATGTTCAATACATTTATTAACATCCATTAATGTAACATCACTTGTATGTAGGTACCTTACCTGAATAAACATCTGAATCTGAATTTATTTAGCATATTCTGATGTAGGTACCTTACCTGGACTTCTGACTTCTTTTTACAAATTCAAATGTTGTTGCACAAATAAGCAGTTTATGAAAAATGTTGGATACATCAAATGTTTATACTTATCAAATTACGATAATCATCAGCCACATATACTGTACATTAATTTTTTTACTGCTCAAAAGTAGGTAGTAATGTATGTGTCATATATATATTATATATATGTAGAGAGAGAAACCAGTTCCATTAAAATCTTATCTAGTCACAAATATCACGAAGGCACAATATTAACAGTAACAATGTCAAATATAATTGTTAAGGCACTTGGTTCTTCAATATTAAATTACTACACACACATCTGGTAATTTAAGCTGCTACTATACACCTGACAACTACCATAAACATGGCATCTTTGGTAAACACAATCCTATTGAACATATTGATAACAAAACCAAGCTGCATTACATTGTCAACCAGACTATTATGCTGCGAGTAGCATAGTTATATTAAAACAATGCTGTAAACCGATGCCGATAATAATGATTCTTTGTATAAAAATAATTATTACTATGACTCTAGACAGGCCTATTTTGCTCCCTGTTGTATTAATCAGTCCAAAACCACATGATGCTAGCAAGTAATTAACAAATTCTTAAAAGTTACAGTACTAAAATGATCATATACAATATGTACATTGTTTGAGATTCTGATATATTACGAAAAGAAAATATATTCATAAATATACAATAGTGTAAGGCACTCGTATGCAAACTCCTCTTACAGCATATTAAGTGCAGAGAAAATGAATAAAGCACACACCCAATTATGCAGTTCTCTACTCCATATAAAGTGAGGGGGGGGGGGCCAAATTAAGGGTTAAACAGTATGAAGCATTAACAATGATGGCCTCATTGCACACATACCAACCCACAAGCCGTGCCTGGCCTAGCACGGCTGTGAACACAAACCCGTAGCATTGGCACGACACTCCTTCCACGTAACTCTTAGTGTCGCTATTAAGATTCAGGTTCCGTTATAATATTAACATAAGCTGAACATTAGATTGGCTCCTTTTGCCATTATTATTCTACAAGACGGGTAACAAGAGATTCTTCTTCATTACTTTGTTAATTATGTACCTAGATTATACCTCGAAGGGTTCTGGGATTTGTTTTAATCCCCAAGCCCAGCCTTAGGCCAGGTTTGACTTGAGAGAGCTTGGTCCACTAGGCTGTTGCTTGGAGTGGCACACAGGCCCACATATCCACCACAGCCCAGTTAGTCCGGCACTTCTTGCAGATAACTATCCAGTTTTCTTTTGAAGATGTCTACATTTGTTCCGGCAATATTGTTTATGCTCAGTGGGAGTGTATATGCCTTACGTCCTCCCCAAATACAAATTATTTCCTTCACTAACAGACTGAGGTACAGAAGGAGTCATCACAAAAATTTGTCTCATTCACATTTGTAAGAAGTTATGTATATAACTTTTTGTAATTTACATTATATAACATAAAACTGGAGAAAGAGTTGATATTTTGCTATATATTAGATATTCTGTACTTCTCTGATCAGGTTCAGTTTTCATCCAATCCTACATTAAATGTCCTAATGCTTTACATACGTATCTGGAACAAACTTCTTATTCCTCTAACACAAAGTATTTCGGTGAGAATGTAAACAGTGATGAACTAGAGAGATCTATAACACATTACCACTTAAAAACCATAAGATTTTAGTGCAAATCATTAAAAAAAATATGAATGCTACATATATTCCAAATATAAAATCATATATAACTTTTTTATATTAAAGTAATATTAGGCCTCTGCTTAAGTAAATCCTACATTCCTCAATATTAATATAAACAACTCAAACTGTTTTAGTGTTAAAGCATACTAAATAGCATTTAATTGTACTAGTTCAATTAATATTTTTCCTGAACCTTCACAAGTGCTTAAAGCGTCTTTAAGATTGTAGGTATTGGTGTAAAGGAGGGCGTGAGTGAAGAGTACGGCTCAAGATCCTGCTCGCCAAGGTCATTTTCTTCAGCTGCCTCATCCTCCTCATCCTCTTCAATATCATGCCATGTAGGAGAGTGTATATCGGAAGAGAAGTCCAACGTTGGATTGACAAGAGGATTTCTGGACACCACCAGCAGCAGGCGGTCTCCTGCTGCTGCCATAAGAGGCACTGTGAGGCAGCAGTCAAAGTCGTGTGTTCTGGTATCATTTACCTAAAAAGAACAAAAAAAAAAGTTAAACTAGTAGATATAATACATTTTTCTGACAAATACACAGCTTAAGATAAGGAAAGAACAAGTGAACAAGATAGCACGAGATTCTTGATGCATGACAATACTGCATTGTGACAAAGTAAACACTGCTAGTGGCAGAAGTCCAGTAATCCCTGCAGTGATGCTTGAAACATTCCTTGCTGTGCCATGTTATTGTGACCCCCCCCACCCCCGTGACTGGACACGATCCATGTCCAAGGATACAATGAGATCTTACTTGTGGGAGCAGAAGATTGTAACAGCTCGGAAAACAGCTGATATCCTATCTGAATATGTAATACCCAAAATATTAACACACTGAGGGTTAGAGTATGTCACAGAGCATACACAGCAATGACAAAGGAAATTACAAATGTGCAAACATGCCCCAGAGCGAGCCTCCGGGCTCCCACCAGAAAAGAAGAAAATAATTAGTGAAATAATACTACAAAAGTGCAAAAATATAAATATACATACCTGCAGAATTCTATCAAATGGTTTTAGTATGCTAGATCTGTCAGCTGGTCCACCCTTTCGTATTCTATTGACATAAACTCCTTTCTCATAGAGGCCATCAGATACACTAAATCCGAAGTCTTCATACACGCGATCCTTCAGTAGAGTCACCTGGTACACCTGTCCGCCGCCAGCTACCCAAGAACAAGATGTCAGTTACACTCAAATGCTTAAGGAAGCATGCTCTGACCTACAAATTTCATTATAAAAGGTATTTTATTCATAGATGGATAAATATTTTAAAAGAATGCCGTACTATCTTATTTTGTTGAAGGAACATATAAATAAGGCTTTGAATTACTGATATATGATTAGAATCATTCGAGTCACAATCGATAATACTGGGTTTGATCATCGGGCAGGACAGAAATAATTGGGAACATTTCCTTTCATCTAATGCCTCTGTTCCCTTAGATAAGTATTCAAGTTTTAGGCAATTGCTGTGGGTTGCATCCTAATGAAAGTCAGTAGTTGGCCCTAGGAGGATCTCATTAACCCTAAGTACTGTACAACCTTCCTGTTCTTGACAATGGGAATTATTAGATAAATTCCTGTGTCCACAGAACAGTACTTTTATTGTTCGTAGTCAAGCAGGATAATATTCTGGGACTGGGACTATGTATGACCCTGCAGGTCATAATAAGTGCTAAGGAATCATTCAGAATGAACAACAAGTTGAATTCATATAAAAAAATGACCTTCCAAACTAATTCTTGATATCAAGGTGACCATCACTAGGATACTCAGGGAGGGCTCTTGCTAACACCCTGGTTTCCTGCCTACCTATTTATGCTAATCATCACCAGATTGTTGCATCACAACCACCTTTGGGTTCTTTGACCCAAACCACCCCACATGCTTCCTGACAGCAAAGATCTTGAATGCAGGAACAGAGGGGGCAATAAAAAAACGATGCTGGAGTAAACAAATTATCTTGCTCACAACAGTGCTTTCTGAGAAGGCCTTTTTCCTTGGTGGCTTTCAGAGCTATCCACCTTGTAACTTCTAAACCTTGAGTACCTCGCCATACTCTTAACAAATGACGAGCACCTACTGGAGACCAGGATCAAAATCTGGCCACCCTCAATAGAGGTAAGGAGAGTCTGGAGATGCTAGATCACCACAGAACCAAAGGAAAACTCACCAGAGAGGTAGAGCGCACCAAAATAAGCAACTGGATGGACAACATTTGTAACCCCTGATGTGAACTATATACACATGCTGATGTCCTGATGGACATTAGGTCGAATATATTCATTGACACGCATATTTGTCAAAACCTTGGAAAAAATAATCAAAACCATATGGGTACAACACCGGGAGAGAAATGACATAATATCAAGACAGTATGGTTTTTGGTCGGGAAGATCCTGTGTAACAAATCTGTTTAATTTCTATGATAGAGCCATAGAAATTTTACAGGAAAGATGGTTGGGTTGACTGCATTTATCTGGACCTAAAAAAGGCTTTCAACAGAGTGCCACATATGAGGTTGTTTTGGAAACTGGTACATATTGGAGGAGTGACAGATAAGCTTCTAACATGGATGACAAATTTTTTAACTGCCAGAAAAATGAGGACAGTAATCAGAGGCAATGTACAGTACTGGACTGGAGAAATGTCACGAGTGGAGTACCACAGGGTTCAGTTCTTGCACCAGTAATGTTCATTGTCTACATAAACAATCTACGAAAAGGAATACAGATTTATATGAACACGTTTGCTGATGACACCAAGATGCTAGGAAAGATATCTTAGGAACATATAACTTAGATGATTGTTATTCCCTTCAAGAAGACCAGGACAAAATAAGTGTATGGAGCAACATCTGGCAAATGGAATGTAATGTGAATAATGTCACATTACGAAATGTGGAAAAGGAGAAAATAGACCGCACACAACATACAAATTATATGATAAAGCTTTACAAAAACAATAATAAAGGGATCTAGGGGTGGTTCTGGATTGAAAACTGACCTAAGGTCCACAAAAAGAACACCGTGTGAGGAGCCTATACTACAGTTCCCAACATTTCAGAATTGTTACAGTATTCTGAATTGTACAGTTAAAGTTTAGAATTTTTTTAAATACAGTACAGTTCAGCAGTTTCTTGGTAGGTACAGTATTTGTATATTTTATAAAGCCACTAATTACATACAACATTTTGGGCATAATTGAATATAATGAGTAACTTCTGATTCAATTTGTTGGATTAATACTTATTACTAATATTATGTATTCTTATGTATTAATAAATAAGCTGGAGATTATATGAGAATTGTTAAAGAAATTTTGCAAATAATATGACAAATGATATGATAAGTTTTTATATATACCGATACTGTACCTGTACTGGTACTGTGTAGAATTTTTTTTACTAAATAACTTCAGTATAGTATTGGCAATAGATGAGAATTTAGAAGATATTTAAGTTCAATATATACTTACGTGGAGGTGAAGCTTGTCTTGCATATGTGGCAGAGTATGTAAGTGCAGCATTACTGATGGAATAGCTACCTTCCTCTTTGGCTTCTACCCCATCAATGCCCATATTAGCAACGCTAGTTGCAGGACGTCTCCGTGCAGATAAAGTCTGACAACGAGCATTATCAGTTCCTGCACTGCTAACAGGTACCTCACTAGTATTTACTTGACTTTCCTTCTTGCGTTGAATAGCTGTACCTAGTAGGAAAATGGTAAAGGTTGGTAATCGTGTTTATTAAATAAAGAGATAATTTTTACATTACAAATATTGTGGAGCAATGAGTGTAATGAAATGCCTTTTCCTGGACAGCATTTCATTGGCTCACCTTAGTTCAAAAGCACATAAGAACTTTAGTATTTTAACACATCAGCACATCTGTTCGCCTATATTAAGCTGGTCCCATTTGAATTAAACCTTTCTCATCCATTATATGTATCAATCTATTCTTGAAACCTATTAAATTGTTTGTCTCAATAATACTAGCGGACAGCACATTTCACCCATCTGCAGCTCTGTTTCCAAACGAATAGTTCCTTATATCCCTGTTAAAACTACATTTCTCCAAGAGTATAAATCCACAATTGAAGCTGAGCTGACCACATCCCACAGGAGTTAAGTGAACAGCTTGAGAAAAGCATCCGCAGCTCTGACAGAAATCGAGGAGACCATCTGGCAAAGAGCCGAGCCACAAGATCTCCTGTATTGCGGAGACAGAAAACCACCAAACAAGTGTGTGTGTGCCTCATAAGCCACCGTAGTCAATAACGGCACAAGTCACATGCCACCAACTAAGAAAACAACGGGGCCCCCCAAAAAAAGTAAAGTATAGAGGCGATGAGTCACAATAACGTGGCTGAAGTATGTTGACCAGACCACACACAACAAGTTGAAGGGACGACGACGTTTCGGTCCGTCCTGGACCATTCTCAAGTCGATTGACAATCTACTTGAGAATGGTCCAGGACGGACCGAAACGTCGTCGTCCCTTCAACTTCTAGTGTGTGGTCTGGTCAACAAAGTATAGAGAACTGGTACACACTCCTGGGTGAACCCAACAGGTAAAGTAAGGAAGAACCAAGAGTGACAGTGTCCAAAAACAGTGTCAGTGTCCAAAAACACCAAATCACACTTAGAAAAATTGGATTGAGGCAAGCAAGAAAGCTATAATTGCCTACTGGAACCAGTTGACCTGACAAAACCTCCCTCCTAGGATCCATTTAAATTATCACACTAAAATGCTGTGCATATTAGTGGCTTTAATCATAGTACAGTATATACTATCTCTATCTAGAAATCCAACATTCTGTTTGCAACTCATTTTGTATGCATGTACCTTCACTTAAATAAAAATTATTATTATTATTATTATTATTATTATTATTATTATTATTAGAGATTTCTAACTGACAGGAAATTAGGGTAGTAATCAAGAGACAATGTATGAAATGCGAGAAATGTTACAATTGTAGTATCAGTGTTCAGTTGTAGTACTAGTAATGTTCGTAGTCTACATAAACAATCTACCAGAAGGAATACAGAATTATAAGAACATGTTTGCTGCAGGTGAAGCAAAGCTTCTAGAAGCAGAGAAAGAGACGCTAACTGAGAGTCCCAGATGAGGCCCAGCCAAGTCCTTACCTGGGATGAAACCAACTGGGACTTCCCCCATCTCAACAGGAACCCAAATCCAATGAGCTGGGAGAGAACCAGATCCCTGGCCAGCTGACACAATAATAATAATATAATAATTTTTATTTACAAGAAGGTACAGTGGGTTGGCGAGATTACATGACTGGTAATTTTACATTCATGCAAAGCCACTAACATGCATAGTTTTGAGCAAGTCTTTAATCTAACATATCAGGTAAGGTGAAAAGGTACATTGTGGCAAGGTTTTACATGGACCGACTGGGGGCCCCCCACACCAGATAGTTGTTGAAGTAGGTCAGCACATGAACCTCTAACAGATGCAGCCAGGTTACAACAACCTGCATGATCCATGGAAATGTGTCAATATGCATCCTGGAGGTCCAGAGGGTACCACTGAATTTCCAATCTGTAACAACCGGTGAACTTGGGCCAAAGAGGTCTTGTGGAGGTTCAGTAAGAGACTGGAGCTATTCAGACCCAAGAGCTTGAGGGTACAAAAGAGATTTGCGAGTCCCACTTTGGGACTGGGAACAATTGGGACACCCACTGAAGGGATAAGGCCACCTCAACTATGCCCAAGTTCAAGCAACCTGCAATGACCCAATGCATTGGCGAGGTGAACTCCTAACCCAAAAAGCCTGACCCCAATTATAGTGGAGGAACTCATCAGCTCCACCGAAAACTATTGGAACCACCCAGAAAGCCCACATATCAGCATCCTCAGGAAAGAGATGAAAAAGGGAAGCCAACCAAATGGTGTAAAAGCCCAAGCCAAATATAAGGAATGGGCTAACATGGTCTGTCTACATAAAAGAAGACAGGCCAAATAAAATGGTGCAACCGCCTCTTACAAGCAAGCCATTTTTCAATATCACAATTCACCACATATCATGGGCAGACAAGCTATCTTACCCATTCACAGACACTCTACTAATGGAGCCCAAGTAAACCAATAGCTTATATTGTGTATAACGCCCAGAAATCACTGAAACTTATACCATTATATGCACCAGATTACAATGGAAAAATCAACTTTACAAATTAAAAAAAAAAATTGTCGACTATTCAGTCATATAGTGCTTCAATCTTCCCCAATCCCACTAAGCTTGATGCTGTGTTATGGTTCATCAGCTGTGCTGGTAGTGCTGGTTGTACACTGAATGGTCTCAGAGATACCCAGGTGAGGGAGCATGAGGCGAACTTGACAACAATGCAATTCTGCGTGGCTATCCCTCCTAATTTCACTTCTTAATCTTTTATGGGTAACTTGTACGGCATTTTCTTTTTTACAAAAATATGTGTTATTAATTTATTGGATGCTGTAACAACTTACTACATCAACATAGAGAACTAGTGTGCTAAGCATGCTGTCTCTGGCAACTACATTGTCATGAATATGTCAATTATAAAACTGATATAATTTTAAGGAATTTAATTTGTATTCTTGAATCTGCTACTGCTTTTCATCTTTTATCAAATTTCATCATAATATCCTTGTCTCTCAATCCAACTAGATTGTAACCAAGTGTGAAGAAGAAAGTCTACATGTGTGCAACTGTCTATATATTAATTTCCCTTAAATACACCCCTTTCCACCGTGTATTACAAAACCTGCAGGGCACCATGTTCACTGCTACCGTACTAGTTACAAATAACCATGAACAATTTATTAGAAAAATATTTTCATTATTAAACTTGGAGAGCATAACTTTGGCACACCTGCATGTCCATGAGGTAGAAGGATTGGGGGTGACTGAGGACGATCCCGGAGACCACAGCTCTCGCTTATCTGGTTGAGGTCTGCAATCATCTTGTCCCAGTCCGTTTTATCCTCTGGTGGTCCACAAACAACATGCCTTAAGCCTTACAAACACTACTTCTTTTTCAGACTCCCAGCAGGGGATACTTATCCATTAATGGCAAAATAAGGAAGTGGGAATTAAGAGTGCTTGATTGACAAAATCTTTGATACTGACTGTATAATGCATGAGTTTTTTAGGAGGAAGTCTTTTTCAAAGATTTTGCTCATTGAAATACTCTCTTATATAAACATGCATTTAAAAGTGGAGTCAATGGAGATTATCATCACAAATTTGTACGGGTCTGAACAAGCATATGAAATTTTATAAGTGATAAGCAAGCCTAGCAAAATGCACTAGCCATAAACAAAACCATTCAATTAACATCTACAAGAAACTAACATCAATACACTGAATTTTCCTTGAACAGTAAAAAAATCAGCATTTGTTAAGCAACCACAGTATATTACACATTTAAGGATTTCACAAAAGCTATACTAATACAGGAAGCCAAAATCAATGTAAAGCAAAATTAAGTATATTTAGGCTCGAATAGACACTAAAACAGGTTCAACTTACAGATATTTCGGTCGTCCTCATTTAATGAATCTCACTTTTAAATTTGGTTGTTGCAGCAGGTATGAATAATATTCACACACAATAACATTCTTTCTAAAAAAAAGAGAGGAATGTCCAGGACTTAAGACATCTTACCAACATTATCTTCTACATCGTTTGCTGACTAACCTGACTGGCCACTGTCTATGGATGGTGGGGGAGAAGGAGATCCCCAAGTGTCCCTCGTTTCCTCTTCAGGAGCTTTTCTGTTGGCCTCGACACTGTCAGTGTCCCCAGGACCAGTGCTCTCCTCTCTAAACTCCAGCCCCCCTCTCCGTCGTACAGTACTACCACAGTCTGCAAGTATAAGTCAAACACATATAAACATCTTATATAAGCACTGAAAATTAATTTAATCCATTTGCTTAAAAAATCCAGCACTGTCTCACATAAAATAACAATTCTTACTAAAACTAAAATATTCCTTGTCACTACTACTATATTACTTATTCTTATAATGCATGATATGACAAACCTGTTTTAGCAACAGAACAGATAAATTATTAAATATTTACAACAGCAGCAATGCATAAATTTGACTTTTTCTGGGGGTGTCTCTTATGGCTCACTGAAGCCATCTCATTGAAATTGCTACAAATTACTAGAATGCATCAGCCAGAGAGATCAGTTTGGCCTACTGGGGACCAGAGCCAGAACCTGTTCCCTCTCATGGAGGCACAGGAAGCAGGTGACACTATGCCAGGGAAGGCACCCAGTAAAAACAGCAAACCAATACAGACTACTGCTAGGTTCAAATGCACTGGTCTGTATTGTTCAAATGACCATTATATTATACATAATATAATAGTCTATCTATAATGAAAAGTAATACAATGTCTTTACTGCTAAATAGAAGCTACCGAGTTGCCTATCAGAAAGGAGCATTTTATTACATTCAGTACCTGGGTTTTTATAATGATGTTTATGAATTCATATAACATATAATGAATTTATACTTAATGTATTAATGTATCCCTTAATGTATAAAGGGACTGACCCGTTTTAAAAACATTTAAGGCAATGGCATATATAGCTACAGTTCGTTATCTAAAGAAATTTATTTAAATACAGTAGGGTATAGTCTACCTGGTCTCATGATGCATACCTGATCTGAAGACAATATCTGAGCCAGAATCTCTCTTTGACAGTGCTGGAGTAGAACCAGGAGGAGGGGGGTCCATTCCCGAGCTGTCCCAGGACTCTACTGCAGAGTCTACGGATGGTATGGCTGGCCCAAATCGTCCCAACCAATCATCTCGCCCCAGTTCGTCACTAGGAACCCCTAATACAAGAAGTGCAACACAAATAAACCATAAATAAATTGGTCACAGAGTATCTCTGTATTTAAGATTCTCTTTAATATGTATTTTGTCAAGTTGTGATAAAAATATAATTGTTTTTATCTCCAGATGGTATTTCAAAATTGTTTAAAATTTTCTTCAATATTAGTTAATAAATTTTTATAAGAAATTATCCTCATAAAAATACAGTACATATAAAGAATGATCCAGTAATAGGAAACAATAATAATGAGCAAGTTGCCAGAACATTCACAATTGGCAGAGCTACTGAACTGACACCACAACACTAACATATGCTTACCAGTCTCTCTGGGTCGGGAAATCTTGAGAGTGACAGTATCACCAGAGTTCTGAAGCATAAGAATGGCCTCACTCAGAGGTTTTCCTCTCAATGATGCACCATTGATGGCCAGAAGGCGATCACCCACATGAATAGCTCCAGTTCGGTCTGCTAACCCACCTGTTTGTGAAATATGCATGTGTAAGCATATGCAGATCTATGCTTCAATGTCTGTAATACAGGAGGTCCCTGTTATACAAACACCTGTCATACAAATACTCCTTCATCCAAACATCTTTTCAAGTCCCCCTTCATGCATGAAATCACTAACCAAACCCATCAACATCCCCAGTATTATGAGTAGCGTGCTAAAACATCCGTGCAGCAGGTGGAGTAATGTACAAAAAAATGTCAGTATCCTACAAAAATGTTCGCATAGCCCATTAGGGAAGGAGAAGTATGGTCAAATTATATACATGTACAGGCGAGGAGTCACAATAACGTGCCTGAAGTATGTTGACCAATTCACACACTAGAAAATGAAGGGACGACAATGTTTCGGTCCATCCTGGACCATTCTCAAGTCGATTGTGACAATCGACTTGAGAATGGTCTAGGACGGACCGAAACGTCGTCGTCCCTTCATTTTCTAGTGTGTGGATTGGTCAATATTATGTACAAGACTTTTTTGACTGCTTATTTTCTGATGGTCAAAACTGTATACAGTATATTGTTTGGTTACGATGTATTAGCTTAGATTATGCTGTGTTAGGCTCAGTTAGGTTCTAACCGAGTCAGGTAAATAAGTCAGGTGTCGGGAATTTTCAGTGTTCTGTTGGGTTGTGCATTACATTGGCTGGCGGGGAGCACTAGGTAACTAGGTATTCGCATGCTACACTACAATGTAATAAGGTTGCCCTTCTCAGCTATGTGAACAGATGTTATCTGTATTGGCTTACTTTCTTTTCTATATAATATTATATACCCATTTATAATAGAACAATAAACTTCATCTAAAAGTTCAACATTGCATCCCAGTGCCTAGGTGTCCTGCTTGGTTAAGCTCTTCAGGCCCTGGAAATTCCCTATAGGTTCAGAGGTCCTATGGATATTACTGCCTCAAACCTGCTCTCGCCTCATGCAATTTTGAGGGTTGCACGTTGTCCATACCACAGTCCATCTGCCTCTGCTGGCTGCCAGTTTTGGTCAGTGATACCTTCAACCCCAAGCCCTGTGGGGAATTTGTTCTTCCCATGTGGCTCTTTCTTTTGGCCCTTCCTGTTGAGGTTTTGGCTGTCTGGTAGCAATTGCTTTGAATGTTGGTTTTTCTCTTTTTTATAACAGTCTGGATTGTGTGCCCAGTGCTGCCCCATTGGGGGGTTAGGGATCTGGATTTGAAGGCATTTGGAAATGTCTACCTTGATTCCATCTGTCACCCCTCTTCCTTGTCCTTGTGGGTGGGGTTTGACCCTTTTCTGTTCCTCCCCACCTGCTTCCAGCCGGGAAGTGTTTGAGGTTGTTTCCAGGTCAGGGTGGAGTTAGGTTGCTGGGTTGGCTCCAGGGGTTGCTTCTTCTGATTCGGGCACAGAAGCAGTTGAGCATGCTTGTCCTGCTGAGAACGAGCATCCTGGATCTTCCGTTTAGCCAACCCCTCCTTCGTTTGAAGCCTTTCCTTTGAACTTTGCTTTTCTACTCCAGGTGGTGGGAGCAGACACTGGTTCTGCCCTGGGGCCCTCTACTGTAGCTTCTGAGCATGGAGGGAGTCAATTGTGGGGCCCCTGCGTCCCATTCGACTCTGCGAGATTCCTCATTCAATCCATGTGTCTTCTTTTGCAGACAAGGTTTTGTGTCTTCCACGTGTGGAATTTCTATCTATCTCTCTTATGCATTTTTTCTTTCTAGCTGTAATAGTCATTGGTTTAATTTGTGTGTGTATTTGTGTGCTGTGCAAGCATATTTATAATATTAATGGTGTTGATGCTATCTTCCTAAGTTTTATATGGCAGAGATGAAAAGATGAAAACTCATTAGTTAGATGGGATACCTTACCCCAACCTCTTCAACTTTTCAAGGGTATACAAACTTTGCAACAAGGGGGTAAAATCATTGGAAAAAAACTCTTGCAGTGACTACTGAATGGATATGAAACGCCCCAAACATGTAATCTTGATTTGTTTTTCCATCTCTAAAAATAGTTTGAGGGACATTTTTCCCCCTTCAGCTTTCTATGAGGTTACATGCCTATTCTTCTGTGTGGTTAAGTACTGAGGATTGCAATAAGGTCAACACTAACAACATACCTGGAGCAAGCCCAGCAATGTAAATTGGATCAAAGGGCTCCTCGCTGCCAGAAATGGTAATTCCCAGCGCACCTCCATGACGAACCAGCTCCACTGTGTAGATCACTAGTCCCCCACTCTCCTCTGTACAACAAATATATCTATTCAATTGTTGTTAAATAACATCAATTAAAGGAAAATATGTACATGGCATATATGTAACTAGTTTTATAAAATCAATCTATAATATAATACAGTACAGTATACATAATTCAAATGCTAAACAAATTTATGGAGAATTTTTTTACAATACCAAACTCAAAGAGGAAATTTAAAAACTGCACCAAGATAATCCATATAAGATTGGAGAATAATATAAACATCAGATGCTCAACTTATAGCATTTGGAAATATAGTAACATATACTACATATATAACACATCTATATCACATGGAAAGCTTACACAAATCAATCTCACCTGAATATAATTCATCTTTTTGCACTCTGAGTGTGACAATTTCATCACAACACTGAAGAATGGTTTTTGCATCCTCCAAGGTCAGATTTTCTAAGCGGGTGTCATCGATAGCTAAAAGCCTGTCACCTGGTTGCATGGTTCCTGACCGATGTGCTGGTGAACCTCGAACCACCTCACTAATTAGTAGAGGCTCTCCTGAACCTGCTCGACGCCCAGCTGTGTAGGTTAAAAAGTATTTCCTCAGTAAAAGAATTAGTGCAAATTAAACTTTCTGTATAGATGTACCCCATTAAGCACCTCCCTCATAAATTACTTATTTATTATAGTGCATTTTTTTAAGAAAAAAGTTGAACCATGGATCATTGAGTGTAATGAAACAACATCCCTTTCTGGGCACTGCCTCAGTAACTTCCCTCTGCTTAAGGATACGGCTGAACCAGAACAGACTAGCTATGTTGGGCCCTATGAGACTCCCTACCCACTGAACCCAAGGACCTTTGCTCCGTCCACGGGCGGGGAAGACCTGGGGATCGAGACCAACCCACTATTGAGGTAAACCACATACATGTGTATTTGTATTTTAATAAAGCCACAAATCAAGTACAGTGTTTAAAGTATATCTCAAGATTAATGTGAGGGACATAATTTGTAAATTTTAGGGGTAACATTTAAACTTATAACATATATTTTATATACTGTATATGATAAATGTAACAAAATTCTGAAATTTAGTGATGATACCAGTATACAGTGATACCTATGCTGGGGACCAATCAAGCTTTGCTCACAAATGTGCTCAGTGTGACTCTAGCATGTTCAGAGATTTGATGAAATAAAGATGGGCCCAGAAGATGCCATGGGTATAGTAAAGTGTTGGATGGTCATGAAACATGTGTGCAAATAAAGATAAGTTCAATGACCACCCAACACATATAGACGATCGCTTGGTGCAGTAGTCATGGGAAGACCCCTGGTGGCCTGGGTTAGGTTAGGTAGGGTTGGTTGAGTTCGGTCATATATCTACGTTAGTTTTAACTCAAATTTTAAAAAGTTAGCCCATACATATGAAATGATAAAGCTATTCATTTCATTAAGAAAAAATGAGAATATTGAAATTCTGCAAAACTTGGCTTATTAGGCAAATCGGGCCTTGCATAGTAGGCCAAGAACTGCGTTCTGGCTACTAGGTACAACATATATATACACACACACACACACACACAATATATATATATATATATATATATATATATATATATATATATATATATATATATATATATATATATATACATACATATACATATATGTATATATGTATATATGTATATATGTATATATATATATATATATATATATATATATATATATATATATATATACATATATACATATATACATATATACATATATATATATATATATATATATATATATATATATATATATATATATATATATATATATATATATATATATATATATATATATATATATATATATATATATATATATATATATATATATATATATATATATATATATAGATACACACACACATATGCTTCCTGGTCACCATCAAAACAAATTACCTGTATTATTATTACTGGTAAACCAGACAATAATATCTAAAATTAATGTAAGATGATAATCGTATTACCCCTGGCGGTCAAAGGATGACTACGTAATCACATTTCAATTATTAAAGTGAAAAAGACCCATTATATTTTAATGGAAAAGGCAGTAGACTTACCAGTCAATGTAATACCAAGGCCGTTATGTCTTTTGGCTAACTTGACAGCAAAGGTGCCAGATGAAGGCACAACAGAATCGGCAACATCAAATTCAACATCCAGGGTGACTGTTGGGCGAGAGTTGGCTACCATCTGGGTGACCTCGCTGACGCCGAGACCTGATACACTGCGGCCATTCACACCCATTAGACGGTCTCCCACACTTATGATACTACATCTGTAAATAAGAACATTAAGTTGATGAATTTTCTCGAGTGTAGGACAATGACATACACATGGCATAATAATGGCAGTAGCTTATTAAGCAAAAAATCTAGCATTGAATGTTATAAACCCAACCAGGAAATCTCCAGTGTACCACATCAGATACATCAAATCACTAGCACCTACTAGAATCTGACCCTCTCAATAGAGGCATGTGGAAGTGGAGATACAAATCAACACATTACCGAAGAAAACCCCCACGAAGGTAGAGTACACCAAAACAAGCAATTGCTTGGACAGTATTTGAAACCCTGATTTTAATTTGTACACATTCGTTGTCTTGGTCTAATCACTAGTTAGCTTCACTCCCTCGCCACCAGATGGCAGCTGCAGCAAACCAAAGGCTCGGAACTCTGTCTTATGTTCTTTGTGTGCATATTTTTATAAATAATTATTGAGAAATTCCACAGAAGCCGTGATGAGGACCTGTGCACTGGGTGTTCCCAGATGCACATTCTAGTCAACTACATCACGACATGGTAAAAGAATTGCAACCTGGGGTACTACTGCACCCTCAAGGATTCCCGAGGCTTCCACTGAAGTTGAACCAGAGTTTCACACAATTCCTTTATGACTGGTTTTGTCGTCCAGTAATTCTACCTCTGACGTCCCTCTGTCAATACACAGAGAAATCACATTATCATGATACAGTACATCAATGAAAAAATCCACAGGAGACGTGAAAATTATTTGAACCTAGACACTGGGTGTTCCCAGATGCACACTAGTCGACTATGCCACGACATGGTCCAAAGAATTGCAACCTCGGGTACTACTGCACCCTTGAGATTCCTGAGGCTTCCACTGAAGCTGAACAATGGAAAAATCATTTAGAAAATCCACAAAAGCTGTGCAGAGAACCAAACCCCGAGAACCCAGCAGAAGACCATGCTACTTGCAGAGTTCAGTTCTAAAGGGCAATAGACCAATGAGAGCTCTCTCCACCCCCTTCTGGTTCAGACAATGGACCACAGTCTGAATTGAACTGGAGCATGGAGCCCTGAGGAATCTGAATCCTTCTCAGAGCATGCCGCACAGCTGCAAACTCCCACACTATACTGTGCACCCGACGATTGGGGAAGGAGACCACTGACCCTTAGTGGCCTGGTCACAAAGCCCCAATGCAGAGCCGAGGCATTCATGAAGACATCGAGCACGGGTGGAGGAGGGCACCAGGGAACTGAACCCTGAAAAGCCCAAAGAGAAAGCCCGTGACATAGAAGCCGGCAAAGGGCCAACAGAATCTGCACCCAATAGTTGCAGTGGTGACAAAAGGGATGACTCTGGAGAAACTAGAACAGCCTCCAGAGCCACACCCTGTCCAGCATAAAAACATGCACAACTGCTCGAGCAACTGCAACCCAGAAACCCAGCGCAGTCTCAACATCAATAGATGGCGGTGCTGCAGCAGGACCAATGCTGCTATAGTAAGAGAAAGCGATATCAACCGAAAATACCAGACGAGGCCCTGCCACATCTGAACCTGGGATGGAACCGCCAATGATATGTAGCGCTGTCAACTGTTTTTGCGAATCTGTCCTGAGGTTACGGTGGTCAGACAAGTTTTTGGTGGCTCAGTTTCTTCTTGTCATACAGGCCCCTGGTGCCCTTGTGTGACCTTGGGTCATCTTTCTAGACCAAGTCTCTTCTTTATCCTAGTACCTACAGTACTCCCTCCTCCCTGGTACATGCCCTTGATTCCTTCTCCATGAGTAGTTAACTTCAGGAAGCCATATGGGGTTCCCAACCAGAAACCAAGTGTTGAATGTAATAAAATGCCAATTTCTGGGCGAGCTCAGGTGGCTCCCTAACACCCTTCCTTCAGGTTTGTTTGCATCTTTCATAGAACTAAAGGTGTAGCAGCTGGTTGACTGCAAGCTGCCCCCCTCCCCAAACAAGTGGGAGAGATGAGGTGAACGAACATGCACTAGTTTTGTTGAATTTTGACCATATGTTTACATGGTTAATATTCTTTAAGCAGTTCTCAAGGCTGTGGTCTCATCTGAAGTCAGCTGTGGTTTGCTTTGTCTTGCTGACTTTCTGGGTGCCTTTCAAAGTGGTGGCATAAATTAATAAATTAATAATTGTGACATTATTAAGTTATGTCAAGGAGCTATGACATTAATATATAAATATCACAGCTCCTTGCACCTCTGTGAGGTGCAAGGATGGCCAGGTTCTGGCTCGTGGTTCTCGGTAGGCCAGCAGAACACCATGGCTGATAATTTATTTGCAAGAAGGTACAATGGGTTGGTGAGATTATATAAGATTGGTATTTTTACATTCATGCAAAGCCACTAACACGTATAAGCATTTCAGACAGGTCCTTAATCTAACATATCAGGTAAGATAAAAAGGTACATTGTAGCAAGGTTTTATATCAGCAAATAACTACAATACGAGTTGACAGAGGTGAACACATTGGTAAGTATAAGTCTTAAGTACTAATATTGTGGAAGTGGGTAGTACACGATACAGTGTGAGTTTGAAGCACAAAGTAGGACACTATGAAGATGAAATTAGGTACTTTTTGGTTTTATTTTTGAATAGGGGATGGGTTGGTGGCTGATGCAACCTAGTATGGCATACTATCAGTATAGTAGCTTCAGAGTCACCAGGGCTCACCCGGAAATTGGTGTTTCATTACATTCAACGCTGGTTTATTATTATTACTGTATTATTATTATTATTAATTAACTGGTAAAAGATATACTGTACTTGTCAGCAGGTCCTCCTGGGTCGATGGCAGCAACAACAGGTAAGGCTGTGTCAGGGTCAGCAGGGTGTGGCGGTGGACGAAGCACGAGTCCATAGCCCCGACCTTCAACCACAAGTGTCACTGCGAGACACTCGGGGTGACACACTCCCACCTTCCCTATACTGCCTCCTCCCGTAGTATGTGAGGAAACAGATCCTGCACAAGTGCATTCATACATTAATTTGGTATGGTTCAATCACATCTCACAATACAAACAATCACTGTACTGTACATGATTAATAACTATATATAAATATAAATACATACTGTACTGTGTACAAATTGACCAGACCACACACTAGAAGGTGAAGGGACGACGACGTTTCGGTCCGTCCTGAACCATTCTCAAGTCAATCGACTTGAGAATGGTCCAGGACGGACCGAAACGTCGTCGTCCCTTCACCTTCTAGTGTGTGGTCTGGTCAACATACTTTAGCCACGCTATTGTGACTCATCGCCTGTATGTGTACAAATTTAAATCACACCCTCAGTAATATTATTTATTAATAAAATGTTATTAGTATTACAGTATACAGTATATTAATCCTATTATTAAAGGAGCAGTGCCACCTTTTGCTTGAAATGTTCCCAAATATATTTTTCACAACACATGAAAGCCTAGCTTTTTAGATACATTTTAAGCTTTATTTGAAAGATACAGGTATTCATTTTATAGATACATTTTATAGAGCACTGAAAATTTTCATCCAATATGAAGAACCTCTTCCCTTAATTCAGGTTCTAAAAAAATAAAATTATGAGTGGCTTGAAGTCTGTACACTTTATGACAAATTATGAAGAAACACGATTTAATCAAGATAAAAATAAAAAAATAAAACAATATGAACATACAAGATTATAGGTATTTAGTAGAGATTTATAACCATAATTGAAGCTAGCAAAAGACTGGATAAACTCAAATCAGTGAAAACAAAATTGTAGAATATTACATTTTAAAACATTAAACATGGAAGCATTAAACTGTGGAAAACTACAAAAGTATTCTACAAGCCCACTATGGAGTTTGCTTGAGCTGTATAATGCAAAATTTAATATGAAAAATGATTAAGAACTAATGTAGCTTGCCTGTTTCTGCTCTATCATTGGGTCTAGTTCGTCTATTTACTCTTCTAGCGGCAGCTGAACGCGGCCGCTGTGAGGTAAGGGTGTTGTAACTAGAGGCTCCGGACATGTACCCGCCTCCGCCACCACTACCATACCCACTGCTGCTGCCTACCACACCATACAAATGTGGAAATGCTACGCCACCTCCTGATACAAGAATAAAGAAAGGAATAGTACAACTCAGATACTCGGCCAAGTGTTCTGATATTTGTAAATATCAATATCAATAATACATATTGTATAATATCATTATGGTAAGCATCATTATAGCTAATTGTTTACTTGCAACATTTCTTGCACTTTGTGTGCCTAGTATGTCGTCAAGCTGTGTAGTAAGCTGACATCTAACAGCTCTAGCTATTGATGTCAGTCAGTCTGACTGTGTTTTCATGTAAGAATGTATTTAATTATTAGAATAATTGTTTGTCTCTTTGAATTGTTACTACATTTGTTTTTATATTAATTCAGAGCTGTAGTGAACTGGGTCAAGAAAATGTACACTCGGATGTAGCAGTCAAGTGTACTATTTCATCACACTCCTCTTCGGATGTTTCAGTGTAGTCGAGTACTTTTCTTTCTTTCCTTATTTATTTACTTATATTTATATCTATCTATTTTTGAAGGCTATACCTCTGCGAAACGTCATCCTGGGCTGTCCAGCAGATCCCGGTATGATCTCCAGTGTGACATGTGATCCAGGTGCAGTTTTTAGCAGCTGAGCAGCCTCGGCCACTGTCAACTGATCGAGTCGTGTCCCATCTATTGCAGCCACAATGTCGTTTACTGCCAGTGCACCACATCTGCCAAAATAAATGTTGTAAAATCAATGAAATATCAGTAAAGATTGTACAGTAATGAGAGAGGGGAAGACATTTTATTTTTGTATACAAATGTGCTTGTAAATTGGGGATTTCCCCATGTTATTACTGTACATGTCTACTAAGAAGAGGGTGTTTTCTTTCTACATTTACAGAATTATGTGGTACTATAGTACCATACAGTACTACAGTCATTAATAATGTTTTTTAGATAATAAAAAATATGCAAATAACCAAGTCATTACTGAGTCACCATTGTCTATATATTTATAAAAAGTGTTTGTCTGGCCGACATTGGAGGCCAACACACTTGGTGCTAGCCTAATTAAACTGTGCAGAATTAATGGAGATTTTACTGGGAATACCATGGCATTCCAGGTTAGAATCCCGGGCGGGACAGAAATGGTTGGACACATTTCCTATCACCTAATACCCCCGTCCACCTATCTTGAGGTTATCTTGAGATGATTTCGGGGCTTAGCGTCCCCGTGACCCGGTCCTCGACCAGGGCCTCCTCTTTGTTACACATTCCCAGGAAGCAGCCCGTAGCAGCTCTCTAACTCCCAGGTACCTATTTACTGCTAGGTAACAGGGGCATCAGGGTGAAAAACATTTTGCCCATTTGTCTCTGCCTCCACCGTGGATCGAACCCGGAACTTCAGGACTACGAATCCGAAGCGCTGTCCACTCAGCTGTCAGGCGCCCCTGGCATTAAAAAGTTACCCAGGAGTTAGCGAGTTTGTTGTGGGATTGTGCATGGGAGGGGTCAGTAATTTGACCCTGGGGGAAGAGGGGACCTAGATATTGAATATTTCCTGAATATAACCCTAACATGAACTATATGTATAAGCTGGCTGCCTGTCTTCTGACACAATGAATTATAACCACTGCTCTAGCTCAAGAGTTAGTTAAGAACTTAATATGATAAATAACTACAGTACCTAGTAATTACCTGAGCATAGTTACAGGATGAGAACTATGCTCATGATGTCCCGTCTTCCCAGTACTCTTTGAAACTACTGACGGTTTTGGCCTCCACCACCTTCTCTAAGTTAAGTGCTGCGCTGAGAAATGTGTGCATATTGCACTACCTTGAAGTGGTTAAAGGTAACAGGCTAAGAAAACAGAGGTGCTGAACAAAAGCACTAAAGCTCTTCTTTTTGTGAACAGAAGTGTGGATTGCTGGAATAATTTAAATTTACCTGAATATGCCAGAGGGGTGTCTTCAATAGAGGCAGGATGTAGCAGCTTGTTAAACATCTCTTCATTTGTCCTGATATATTATCAAGCTGGATTTTGAATTCCAGGCGTGTTTAGGCATTTATGGCCACAGCGGGTAGGCGGTTCCACAGAAAAAATCCTCAAGTACAATGGGGGGGGGGGTGAGGCATTTGACAAGCTACCGACTTCCTGCCCCTGTCATGACCACTAGAGAGGTGGTGACCCTCAGGCAAGTTCATGAAATAAGGTTGCCCTTTGTAAATGAGAGGGTGGCAGATGCCAAAACCATCAGCATTGTCTGTCATATGACAATGATTATATGAAACCACTAGTGAAGCTTCCCTTCTGTAACTACATAGATCATAATGGTGGTCAAAGTACCCACCTCTCAGCAATGCTGGCTGTGCGGATGGTCTCTATGACGATGGCATTGGGTTGTGGGTGGGCATGGGTGAGAGTGATGCCCAAGGAGGTGCCCATCGCCCGCTCTATCTCCACCAGCAAGGGTCCGCCCGTTCCCCGCACTCCATCCATCACAGACACATCATACCTGAAGTACAGGGAAAGTCTCAACATATACTGTAATTTCAGGAGATACTTGTAATGGGTAGCAAATATCTCTTGACATTGTGAAGAGATACTTGTAGTGGGTGGTAAGTGCCTCTTGACATTGTAAAGAGATACTTGTAATAGTAGCAAGTATCTCTTGACATTGTGAAGAGATACTTGTAATGGGTGGCAAGTACCTCTCGACACTGATAAGATATAGTGGCTCTGGGTGGCAGTTAAGCATATATATCACTTGACATTGTAAAGAGATGTGGGAATGAGTGACTATAGTACAACAACAACAATAGCAATAATAACAATAATAATAATAATTAAATAATTATTGTAAAAAGAAAATCCGCAGGAGCAGTGATAAGGGTTTAACCTATGCAGAGGATGGTCCACTACTGCTCACAGGATGGGCATGGGGTTTACTACCACTAACAGGATGGGTATGGGATCTACCACCACTCAGGGGCCTGGTAGCCTGGTGGATAGCGTGCAGGATTCGTAATTCTGTGGTGCGGGTTCGATTCCCGCTCTAGGCAGAAACAAATGGGCAAAGTTTTTTCACCCTGAATGCCCCTGTTACTTAGCAGTAAATAGGTACCTGGGAGTTAGTCAGCTGTCATGGGCTGCTTCCTGGGGTGTGTGTGGTGTGAAAAAAAAGTAGTTAGTAAACAGTTGATTGACAGTTGAGAGGCGGGCCGAAAGAGCAAAGCTCAACCCCCACAAATACAGGATGGGTATGGGGTTCAACCACTCAGGTGAACTATTCAGGATATGGGGCTACTACCACTCACAGGGGTCTACTCACCACTACACACAGGGGTATGGGCACTGCCACTGGCTAATACCACTCACAGCACTACATACAGGATGGGCAATAAACAAACTAAAAAACTGACTACAGGAATCCTCATTAATTTCAGACCATTGATTCAATTCTTAACAGCAATGGTTAGAAAACACCCACAGCATCTATACGCATTTAAACTATTAGCCTTAAAAATGTGAAACGATATCTATTGTTAATGTCACCGTTACTTGAAGTAAACACATCAGCTGACAATGTTTGTATTCCCAGTGGGTACAAACGTCAAACAACAACATTCTTAGATATTGTGTCCACTGGGATGTGTCCACTGGGTTACTACAGTAACAGCATACAATACTCCATGTCTTATTATATTTGCAAAAATCAATGGTGTATTGGAGTTAATGCAAACAAATAAAACCTGTGAATGTCGAGTATTAATCATGAAGTCGAGACATCAGTGTAGAGGGAAGGAATGAGATATCAGATGAAAGCCCCAAGCCATTACGACTATATACCACTGGGAAAGGGGTCAGGAAAAGGATTTGGGATGGGACGGGGGGGAATGGAATGTTGCCCAACCACTTGCGGACAGTCGGGGGATTGAACGCCGACCTGCATGAAGCGAGACACCGTCGCTAGAGTGTAAAAGGGAGCTTACTCTATGGTGAGGGTGGCGCTGCGTTCTACCCGGCGAAGGGCTTCTTGGGCCTCCGTCAAAGTGCATCGCGTCAGGTCCCGGCCGTCGACGCCCACCAGGCGGTCTCCTGCCTTAATCGTCCCTTCTCTGTATGCACAAGCATGTTTAACGTGATCAATAAACTCCAGTATAGCACCATAGTGTGGGTCATGTGGGTGATACAGAAGATAAATATGATATACGAGGCCACAAGGATTATAAACCCCAGGGAACCGCCTACCCGCCGAAGCTTTAAGTGCCAAAACATGGCTGAATTTCAAAATCCAAGTCGATAAAATCATTAGGGTTAAATGGAGGTAATTTTGATAAGCCGCTGGCTTACTATACCCCGGCGGTTAGGTTAGGCCACTAGAGAGACAGTGGACTTCAGGTAAATTCAGGTAAATAACATTCAGTATGCCGACTGTTCACACACAAGACCACTATGTCACACAATGTACAATGAAAAATAAATAATTATCAAAAGAAAGCATCAAGCCCGGATTATTGTATGTATAATACTGTAATACATAAACAGACTGTATGTATAAGTAGTGTGTTGAGAGTAGAGGCGCTTATGTATCACTTGAGGAATTCGTGTATCATCGCCCTACAGTACAACTGCCCATTACTGATGTGATCTACTGCCTCAAAGCTACCTAATGACATTGTTAGACTACAGTTAATGCACCTTAGTGTACCAGAGTATCATATATATAATCCGGATGAAAAATAACATTTCTTCTCAATGCTAAATTGATTTTGTCATTGATAGCTATGCTTATATGTTGGTGAGTACGGTGTATAATTGCCGTATTCACATATACATATATATATATTGTATATGTAAATAAATAATAAACTGTGTGTATTATATATATGTGTATGTGTTTCATCTCTATCTGTGTGTTAAATATGAATAAAAGCACCAAGAGCGCGTGGAGACTGACCTGTCCGCAGGTCCTCCTGGCCTGATGTGGGTCACGATCAGGGGTCTGGACTTGGGGCCGTCGTGGGAGGAGCCGCCCCGCACAGTGAAGCCAAAACTACCCTCTTCCTTCTCCAGCACCACACCTGCCGTCCTCCCCACCACACTCCCGCTCCCATGCACCGCTGCAACATCATAATATATATATATATAACATGGCAAAAACTCTTATCTACACACGGGAGACATCTCCCGTCACGCAGGGTGCAGCCGCACCTCCACAGATCTCCAGTATCGGCTGTTGATACTAGTAATGGCTCAAAAGAGCCACCACTTACGGGCTATTCATGCCCGTGCCACCTCTTGGGTGGCTTAATCTTCATCATCAAATCAATCTTATCTACAAAAGTATTTACGTTCAGCTTTGTCTACACTAAGAAATTATGTTATTAATAAATATAGGAAACCCCCTCCTAGGAAGGCATAACAGACACGAAATATTATTACAAATATAAATGTTTCCTTGTCTCTCTCCCTTCCCCCTCATAAGAGACAATATGGCCATACACAGCTGTAGGAGTTATAACTCCTTTACATGTGAAAGTTCATGTACAGAAGGAGGCACTATTCAGCAGGCAAGGCACAACACTCACTGCCACACTTAGGCTGTGACACAATATGACACCATCAGCTTCTGGGAGAAATACTCCATAATTAGAGCACTTCAAATGTTAATTCTGTGACGAGGAGTTGGGACATTATTAGTATGTCCCAGTTCATTATTTTTAGGTCATTTGATATAACTAGAACAGTAACTATCTCTTCAAATACTTGGAAAGATTGCAGAAGGATATCGCGACTATTGTCCATAGCTGCTGATGATGGTGTTTAAGATTGAGCTACTGGGAACACAAAGATCCAAGTAGCACGGGCTATGGTGAGCCCGTAGGTGACTTACCTGGCACAGGAGCGGGGCTGTGACGCTCCATATACTGTACTCTGTAACCATTCATATAGTGTAGAGCGGTAGAACAATGAGGTGTAGGTTTTCAATTAAACCAAAATACTGAGAGGAGGAACGAATGAGTACGAGAGGATTTTTTTTTGAAGGATCGAGTTCTAGCTCCCGAGCCCAACTTTACCGTCACTCGTTTGTGTAATGCACTTACTCTTAGCTTTAAAATTTTAAAGCTAAGGCTCTAAAAATATCTACTTTTGAAGCTTTACTGTATTAGGTTCTATGTATCTAACTATTTGATCACTACCCATAAGCTAGGACCACTGTGGTACATGTGCGTCTCTCTCAGTTCCAACCATGCAGCTTCACTTCCATTAATCATCCTAAACTTGTTCTCTACAAACCCGTTTTCCATTTCCCCTGAGACTCACATTTTCTTAGTTTATCTGTTCTGTTCTGTCTGGGGAGGTCCAGCACCCTCAGGGCTGTCTCCCCAAGTGTGGGGAGGTCTCGGTACAACACAACAGTACAACACCAGTACAACACAACACACCAGAACATCACAACACAATACCCCAACACAACACCAGTACAACATGAGGTACTAACGTGAGAGGACGCGCCTGCGGGCCTGAGACTTGCGTCTGTACCAGGCGGCGCGCGACTCGACGCGACTGGGCGCCTCCGAGGTGGCGCGGGCGGCGTGGCTGTCGGAGAAGCTGCGGTCACGCATCACCGGAGAGCCCATGGGCGTGGTCGCCCGGGGCGTGGGCGGCGTGCCGCTCCTGAAGGGGCTGTGTGAGCGGGATGAGGGTGGAGTGCCAGGCCGCTCGAGGGCCGCCAGCGATAACAGCGGCTGCGGCCTCGGTGAATTTTGGCGGGAAAGTAGTGGAGACCTGGGAGGCGCCATGTTGTAGCACCGGATGGGTGGCGGGGGCGGCGGCGGGTCCACAGGCGGGTCATAGATGACAGAATCATCCGGGTGGCGCGGGTCCGGGTAATAATAGTGGTCATAGTGGACATCCATGGCCCACAGGGAGAACCTGCGGGGTGGGGGGCTGGGCGGGGCCTTCGCTGACCCCTGACTCTTGAGGACGACCTTCGAGGCCCAGGGTTGGTCACTTGCCCCAAGGGCTGACCGTTGCCTGGGCTCGTCCATGTTGCGAGGGTTGACGCCGCGCCCTTGAAAGAGGTGAAGCTTGAGTTACTATTCTTGCGCGCTTGGTCGGTGCGACTGTCGGAGCTGTAGTCGGAGCAGTAGCCAGAGTTGCTGAGCTCAACCTCCAGGTCCTTCGAGTGGTCAAAGGGACGGAAGTTAATGGGCTTAACCGGTTCCTTATCCTTCTTTTCCCCCGTCAGGAAGCTGGTTAGACCCTCCGTCAGGGAGAGAAACCGCTTGCGGAGACCCTTGCGGTGCGGGCGGCTGCCGCCTCGCGGAGAGCTGCCTGACGGAGGGATGTGGCGTGCACCGTTGAGCAGGTCCAGGCTGTCAAGGCCGCCACACTCCCGCCCGCGGCTCCACAGTGACCCTGATGACCCACGCCAGTCCAACCGCCACCCGGAGCTCATCCTCCCACGCCTCACACCCGAGCATCAGCCTCTTTACCGCGCCTCTCATCTGTGCAGGCGTGGCGGTGGCCGACACCCGTCACCACCAGCAACACCTCGACACACTAGCACTCAGGGGAGCTCATCACACGTCGCTACACTCTGGGGAGCTCATCACACGTCGCTACACTCTGGGGAGCTCATCACACGTCGCTACACTCTGGGGAGCTCGTCACACGTCGCTACACTCAGTGGAGCTCATCACACGTCGCTACACTCTGGGGAGCTCATCACACGTCGCTACGCTCAGCGGAGCTCATCACACGTCGCTACACTCAGCGGAGCTCATCACACGTCGCTACACTCAGCGGAGCTCATCATTCGTGTCTATGCTGGGCTGAACCTGCTACATTCAGCGGCAGCGGACCTTCCTCAGTATACTATCAGTATTTAGTTACTTTTACAGTTTCAATATAAATTTGATTGACGTGGGGTCGGCCCACGTCGACCGTCTAGCAACTCGGGTTGTGCCGTGCTAACACATTCCACTGTAACGAAGTAGATTAATTTTACAATTTATAACACATTCTCCACAACATTCCACTCACTGAAGCATAAACGAGGAAACTTCACGAGGAACCTGCGAACTCGTTACAAAAAATAAGTTAACCTCCCACCTCACTCCCAGAAACAAGGACCATGTGCGTCAACCCTCAAATCAGAGTGGAAGAGATACAATAGAAAGAGAGAGTTGTAAGACAATCTTACAACTCGCATTGTACTTCTTGAACACCTCGCCCAGTGGTTGGACATTGCACCAAACTGGAAAGTATGGTCGTGTACTTCGACAGATCTCTGTCGAAGTACACGAGCTTCGCGCCGGAGAGGACTAGTGGAAGAACTGGATATTCTTCCTTCACTATATTCATTACCATGCGTCCAGCAATAATTAAAGTCATTAAATTGAAACAGCAAGCAGATGATGTGGTGGCGAAAATATGGACTATGACAGAAATCTGTGGTTCGAGCTTAATCCTTCTGCCCACAGAAGCGAAAGGCTTGTGCTCCTGCACCCTCCAGCAAAAGACGAAAAACTACAATGTTAGCAGGTGGTGGAGAAAGAGCGAGTCGGTATAGCGGCCAGACGACAATCATGGCGTCAGCCTGCTGTTGCCCGCCAACATTCCGGCAGCCCCGGGTAACAGCTACATATTGTATCCCTCTCGCTCGCCTGTACATCAGAGAGCATCTCACCCGCCGCTACCTCCCTCACTGCCTTGAGGAGCCCACCTGCTGACTTACGGTAAACATTCCTTAGTGGAAACATTACCCGAGTTTTATGAAGACACTCTTGCTTTTCCCGCTCTTTCTCCCTCCCTTCCTCCCCTCCCAGTCCAATCGCCGACGTAGGAAACATGTTCCTCCGTAGGGGTTCGTTACCTCCATTTGATGTAGGCACTTTAGTCTCTGCTCTACACCCCTCCTCACCAGTCTAACTGATCAAAGCTGATGCGGTATACACCATTTTTGTTCCGCTGATGGATTTGTTTTGATGGGTAAATATGCCTGCTTGCTTACCTGCTTGACTCATTTCCCCAGAGAAGCCCCTGATGTACTCTCCTGGTCAAGCCTCAACACTCACTAATAAATGTTAGAAAGGCAGTGTTAGCGCGAGGTGGTGTATACTTACATATTATATATATGTATGTATGTATATATATTTTACACATATACATACATGTAAGATACTGGAGGGTCAGGTCCCAAATTTGCACAGTAGAATAACAATATACTGGAGCGAGAGATACGGAAGGAAATGCAGAATAGAACCAGTGAAGAGTAGAGGTGCCATAGGCACAACCAGAGAACACTGTCTGAACATCAGAGGTCCACAGCTGTTCAACACCCTCCCAGCAAACATTAGAAATATTACTAGAACAAAGATGGATGTCTTTAAGAGGCACTTAGACAAGTTCTTACAAGAAGTGCTGGACCAATCAGGTTGTAGTTGATATGTGGGCCTGCGGGCCGTTCCAAGCAACAGCCTGTTGGACCAAGTTATCGTAAGTCGAGCCTGGCCTCAGGCCGGGCTCAGGAAGTAGAACTCCGGAAACCCTCCCCAGGTATGGTCCAGGTATGCCCACACGGCCAGGTACCCCCAAACACACAGCCAAACACCTCCCCCCAAAACGTAGCTAGACCAAACATGCCAAACACATAACACATGTGTCTAATGACTCAGCCACAACATATTCGAGGAGTGCCAGATGGTAGAGGAAGTTGGCAATGAGACCTTCAGCCCAGTCTACGGCATCTGGCACCCATGACAGCATTTATGTCAACCCAGACAGGCACTCATTACAGTGCCATACCTCTCACGCTACCCGGCTCAAGAGTGCCACGCTCCCACAACACTTACCGCTCGAGGCACTCTCACACTCGAGTAACTTAAGTGTCATATTCAACGGAAACTGTGGAAGTGTCACTGATAACTCACAGACTGGCAGGCAGTCTCAGATTCAATGGACGGGTTGAGTGACGGCGTGATCAGACTCAAATCACTAGCCGGTGGGGAAGGATAGAAACATTGACCAGACCACGCACTAGAAAGTGAAGGGACGACGACGTTTCGGTCCGTCCTGGACCATTCTCAAGTCGATTGAGAATGGTCCAGGACTT